GGCCAAATCCCAATGTCCCCCCTAAAGCCTCAAACCCTGAACCCTCAAGGACTTGCTGACATCACCTGGTGAGTGTGAGAGACTGTGAGGGCTTGAGATGGTGTGAATATGAACGGGACAGCACTTTGCTGCAACATATCACGTTACCATGAAAACTACAATAAATATGATGTATAATGTGTGTATTTATTTTATAATATATAAAATATTTGATAAAATCAAACATTTTATAATATATAAAATATTTGATAAAATCAAACATTTGATGAATAAATAAATATCCTCTGATTTCATGTTTATTTGTTGTTCCATCTTTCACCCTTAATGTTTCTGAGTAAATGTATTATGACAGGCTGAACACACTGATCCGTCCTCTTTGTTTACGTCTCCATGCATCCACTGGTTACCTGTGTTTAACATCACATTCCAATGATTTGTGGGTAATTCCCTTAGGCTAAGTTGCGGTAAGGGTTCATAAAGGGCTCAACATGTCTGCGAGAGCCTCAAACACTTGATGTGACAGTGGGACAGAACTAAACCCTCATGGACTTCATGGGAGCGTGCCTCAAAGTCCGTGAGTCCGTAAGGGGGACGTTGGGATTTGGCCTCTATTGTCGTTTTTGAAAGACAATGGGACAGTCCTGACCCAATCCACCAGCTCCAGACCACCAGGTGCTCCCCCCCCCGCCCCATGCCTCCCAAGGACCACCGGACTGAATGACTACAGGCCCGTCGCCCTGTCCTCTGTGGTCATGAAGTCCTTTGAGCGTCTGGTCCTGTCCCACCTTAAAACCCTCACTGAGTCTCTCCTGGACCCCCTGCAGTCCGCCTAGAGCCAACAGCATGAAGGCAACAACCTCCACCGTATCCAATGGACACCCAGCGCACTGCTGCCTTCTTGATGAGTTTGTTGAGTCTGTTCCTGTCGGCTGTCGAGATGCTGCTGCCCCAGCAGACCACTCCATAGAAGATGGCTGATGCCACCACAGAAGGTCCTCAGGAGAGCTCCCTGCACTCCAAAGACCTGAGTCTCCTCAGCAGATAGTCTGCTCTGACCCTTTTTATAGAGTGCATGTATGTGGTCAGTCCAGTCCAGTTTATCGTTAAAGTGAACACCCAGGTCCTTACAAGATCTCACCATCTCCATCCTCTGCTCCTCCATCACGGTCTGGTCTCTCAATCCACTCTGCTGAGAGGGTGATCGGCTGCAGTCTGCCGTCCCTCCAGGACTTGTTCTCTTCAAGGACCCTGAAGGACCCTCTGACATCCACAGGACTATTTATTCTTTCCCTATTAATATACACTTGACACTTTAATAATAAACGTGTTTAATAAACTCTTATTTGTATGTTTATTCACCATATTTCTATATTATATCATGTTTCTATTTAACGGTGAATATCCAATGTGCAACATACGAATATATAAAGACGTTTATTTGAGTTCTTAAAAAGTACGACAGATTAAAGAATTACTTTCTGACACAAAGTTATTTATTAACTGTTTTCAGTGTTTTTACAGCTGAACAGATGAAACATGAATAAACAATCCGTCTCCACGGTAAAAGACTACCTGCTGAGTGTTCACATTTCAAACTAAAAGAACTGCGTCTGCTCTCTGATTGGCTAAGAGTCCGGCTGAGCAGCCAATCAGGGCCATCTGCCCAAATATGGAAAAAGAAGAAGAAGAAACAACAGGAAGAAGAAAAAGTGGAATAAAAGAAGAAGAGGAGGAGGACCAGCAGAGGAAGGCTCATGGTCTCTGAGGTCCAGGTATAAAACAGGAGGGTCATCAGTCTCTTCGTGGGTCACATGACCTCATGATGACCTCATCAGGTCACATGATCCCGTTGGTGAGGTACTGGAAGCCGTCGTACAGCTTGGTGGTCAGAGACCTCATGGATCCGTCCACCAGCTGGTCCACTAACAGCTGCAGCTGCTCCTCCGTCAGACTCATGTGGAACCGTTCCTTCAGACCTCTCATGGTGCTGGAGCCGTGGAAGCAGGGCAGCTGGGTTCCTGGGGGGGGGGGGGGGGGCATGTTAGCAACCTGGTAGAGGTGTGTGTGAGTGTATGTGAGTAGGTGTGTGTGTGTTACCTTGCTGCATGATCTCCACTATCTGTAGAACCTTCTCCATGTGTTTTCTGGCTCCTATCAGACCCTGAAGCATCAACATCCTGTAGTAGTTAAACATGTCTCCATCTGGACCGCCCATCACCTGAGAGACACACACACCTTAGAACCTCCTCAGTGACCAATAAAACCTCCTAAATAAACTGTAGAACCTCCACAGTGACCACTAGAACCCATAAAGTAACCTTAGTCACGACTAGATGAAAACCTGAACTCACATCCACGAACTCGGTGGTGAGTTTGAAGGCGGACGTTTCGAAGCCAAGGTTTTTGGGAGAGCTGGACAGGATGAAGCCGAAGTCGATGTGGATGATGTGACCTTCGGCGTCCATTAGGATGTTCCCGTTGTGCCTGCGAGGACAGGGTCAGGGGTTACAGCACCGCAGGGTTAAATCTCTGTGAGTGAAGAGGAGGTGACGTCATGGCCTCACCTGTCCTTGACCTGCAGCAGGTAACAGATGAGGCTGTATCCGGCACAGCTCTGGACGAAGTTCCTCTGAGCGGACAGGAAGGCCTCGGTGGTCGGAGCTCCGTGCTCCTGCAGGAAGTAGTCCAGCAGAGACAGCTGGCTCTGCTTCTTCACCTGGTGGAGAGATACGGCGTTCATCACCGGCTCAATCATCCCGCTGTCTGACGACAGCACCAGGATCTTATAGGGCTTGATCCAGAGGGGGACCCGCTCCTGCTCCCAGATAGACTGCAGGAGGAGTTATATACGTCAGTACTTTACACCAAATTACATGACTGGATCACGTGACGTTGGTGATGTCAAAGCGTTACCTTGAGCTGCTGCAGCACCTGGAAGGCCAGCAGCTCCTGTCTCAGGTCGTCTCCACATTTAACAATGACAGACAGAAGCCTCCAGTGAGGAAGGTGACCGTAAGGAGATCCTTCTCTGATCCTCCTGCAGGGGATCACACAGTCAGTTATCATATACAGTCTGAAATAGACACCGCTACAGTCTGAAATGTACAATACAGTCAAAAATTTAGAGTCAGAAATAAATACTACTGTCAATTAAATAAGAAAACCACCACCACCACCACCACCTCCACCCAGAGCTTCACTTACCGGACCTTCTCCTCCCAGGGCTCCTTCAGGGCCACAGCTGACGGGTCTTCAGGGTCCCGTTTGAACGTGGTGGGAGCCTGAGCCAGCTGCTCCGACAGACGCCGCCTACAACATGCAGAGAGAGGACAGCGTTAAATACATACTGATCATGTATTGTTGTTTTCAGAAGTAGACTTAACTCATCTACAGAAAGAAACTGTCTGCCGGATCGCGTCTCAAGGTGTTTTTACATGTGTGAAGAGAAGAAGTTTGAATCCTTTATATGTTCTGAGTGTTTGATAATCTGATCCAGGATCCAGGTCAGAGATCATATCTACTGATGTTCACAAAAGGAGAAAATACATTTAGATTCCTGATCACGTCTTTATGACCCTGATACTAATTATTGATCATTGATGATCCATATTAACAGATACAGCGGTGCTGCTGACGTTAGCCGTTAGCAGTGCTGCTAACGTTACTAGCTCTCCTGCTGTTCGTTTAAACACTGATTGGTTGTTTTCAATGTAACATTATCAGAGATCAGAGACTAGAAACACAGATTTTACTGTCAGTAAAACTTTATTGACACTGTGATGGTTAACGTTAACCTGTAGAATTAAACTGAGGTTAAGTATTAAATATGAACCATGTGTACTGTGAGTGTACCTGATGTCTCCAGCAGCGATGAACACCGGCTCTTTGCTCTCCAGACTGGTGATGCTGTCCACTGAGAACTGGCTGATGTTGTCACAGCTGTTGGTGTGGATCTCTGGGAGCTGCAGGAAGGAACGACAGCGTATTCATTAAAACACCTGTGGTGTTCCTCAAGGCTCCGTCCTCGGCCCCCTTTGGTTCTTCCTAAACATGAATCTAAGAGTTCTGTCTCACCTCCACCTGCAGCTCCCCGATGTCGTCCACGGACCAGGCCTCGTCGTCGTTGTCGTAGTTGGGCACCGTGGAGAAGCTGCCGGCTCTCTGGTCCGCCGTCATGCCGCAGTCCGGCAGGTTCTCCACGGAACGGGTGCTCCTGATGCGGTTCTCCGGGATCCGGATCGGAACGCTGGATGTCTCGAAGTTCTCACACTCCAGGACCTCCACGTAGATCAGGTACGGAGCCTGAGGGGGGGGGGGTCACAGAGGTCAACACGAAGGTCACGTGACCAGCAAGAGTGATGTCACGTCTGTATTTAATTTACATTTTTTATAAATTACGCGTGTGAGTCTCTCACCTTGTCTTTGGAGTTGAGCACCACAGCCTGAGTGTGGGGCACTCGCACCACGTGGTGGTCATAGGCCGCCGTCGGCAGCCAGACTCGAGCTGGCAGCTTGTGGTTGAGCAGCGACAGTTCTGAGATCAGACGCTGAGTCTTCTGCTCTTTGGTCGGCAGCGTCGCCAAACGCTTACCGATCCCCATCAGAGACTTTATGAACTCCCTCTGAGGAGCCAGACGCACCGGCTGAGAGACAGAGAGAGAGACAGAGAGAGAGAGAGAGAGAGAGAGAGAGAGAGAGAGAGAGAGAGAGACAGGGAGAGAGACAGACATGTTAGCCTGTGTTGGTGGTTAAAGTCTCACCCGTCTGTCCTCTGAGAGACAGACAGGTGAAGGTTTGATGTTTGTGTGTCAGGTTTGTTCTGATAAACAGAAACAGACGTTTTTATATTCACGTGTTTATATTAAGTGTGAACCTGTTGACACCTGTATATTAATACTCTAATACTGTATATTAATACTCCAATACTGTATATTAATACTCAGTGTAAAGTACATTTTAGAGGCCTTTAGAGGGACAAACATGTTGAGGTGCTGATGAGCTGTGATTGGCTGATGAGCTGTGACTGGAGGTCACCTGACCAACATGAATATCAAAGTGTGTATCTACTGATATTGATCCAACCACATCAGCTGATCACATGTCGTCCTGTTGGTATTATGATGAAGATATTAACATAAATAACAGACCCGACACACAAACACATGACCATCATCTCTGTGTCCTGATTGGTTCACCCACACCATCAAACAGCTGATCGGATCCAACAGAAACATAAAGAATCACTGACGAGTCCACAGACGTCCTGCAGGTGTGTTCGTTCATTCAGAACCAGCAGGACGTCTGTGGACTTCACCTCACACTGAACCAGAACCCACAACCTCCATCACACACTTCTTTTCCCACAATGCACCCTGGAGGGAGAACATGACGCTGGTGAACTTACGGGACGAGTCTTAAACTCCAGACTGTCTGAGCTGGAGCTGCTGTCCTGAAGAGGTCAGAGGTCAGAGGGATTAGAGGATGTGGACTCAGATCCACTTTTATTGTTTGTTTGTTTCATACCTTTTAACTACTAGCCCTATTTTTAGCCCTCTGCTCGAAAATTGCATACTCATACTCATACTCAAGAGAGTAAACTACCCAAACTACAAGGTCTATTTTAATAATTTTGATGGCCTATACAGGCAACACTTGTGAGATGTGTAAATATTGTGTAAATATTGTGTATATGTTACTGGTTAATAACTGATACACTTATGGCACAGCTCAAGTTGAAAAAGTTCCAGGTTCGCCTGAAAAAAAAGCACTTTCATTGAACATTTTTTTGGAATTATTGCAGAGTGAAGCCTACAAATACTCCTGTGTCATAGCACAACAGAGTTGTGGTCTCTCTAAGCTCATTTTACTTAGACTGAGTGAAGCAGGCCAGCATAATAGGAGGTCTGAGTACAGAATTTCAAGCCGAATGCTCATGTCTCACTCATGCTCTATTCTAATTTTATATACTATATAACTATATATTTCACTTTGTTTTTATCACTCATATTATTCAATACATCTAAATACAGATGTTAGGAATCATTTTGAGATTCCTAACATCATCAGAGCCTGTCTCTGGCTCTCAGCCATAGGATTTTCTCAGTCCCTGTGTGTGTATGGGGCTGTAGCTCAGCCTATCATCGGTCGATTTCAGTCAATAAGCCCTCCTTCGACGCGGCAGAGTCTCAGGAAGGCGTGTGTCAAATTTGGTGTTGATTGACATAAGTTTCTGCCAGTAAAGTTGCAAAGAGTGCGGCGTCTCCCCGTGCGTAAAATTCCATTGGCCGAAAGTCTGACCGCTGGCCCGAGGTGGGTTGACCCCCCTTCCACAGGAAACAGCTCGGCATAAACAGGATGCGCTTCGCGGCCATGACGGTAGCTCTGAACCGGATCATTTTCGATGTTTTTATACTAATATTTCATAAAACCTGACCAAAAACCATGGATTTTTTCCGGTGAAGACCAGTGGCATTGGACCGTTGTACGGTCACAGCGTTGCGGTGCGTCCACAGAGAGAAGAACCGACGGTATGTACGTTTTCGCTGCGTGATGCTAATGCTAAACGATGTCCGGATTAGCCGGCTAGCTGCTAGCTTCGTGGTGAAAATATTGATTTGAGGCAGACATAACGCCGATTTCTGCCCAGGATTTCATGATTTTATGCCACGTTTTCTAGATGCTTATACTAGTAGTCTATAGTTGTGTTTGGAGTGTGTAAGAAGTGACTTATATGATAGTGTTGCCCATACGTTGCTGTTTAATCCGGAAAAAAAACTGGACAGATCCACAATACTGGCGAACAATAAGGCCATTTTCCGAACAATATTTTCAGGGGTCCTGAGCCCGAGAGCCCCCAAATGGGGGAGACTCGTAGCCAGAAGGTTTAAATTGTCCAGATTCTTTGTACAGTATGTGTGTCTGTGAACTGTTTCAGGAGAGCTGGTGGGATTCGTTGACGTCATTGATTACAAAAACAGGTTGATTTGCATAACGAGCGTCGGCGCGTCACAGGAATCAGTTCAAAATATGAATTATCATGAAGAACCAGCAGGAGCTAAAAAACAGTAGATACAGTCTGACTGTGGTTACAATCTGTAAATTGTTGCCTCACACCGATGTAAAAATACATTTGATTATTTAATAGCATATTAATCCAGTGATGTAATAACATGTAATAACATGTAGAGTTCTCCAGTTGAGGGAGAGAGCTGCTGTGAAAACAGTGATTTAATTAAACGCGTTGTTGCGTCTCACACTCACTCGTCATGTCAGACACGCTTCATTCTCTCGTTACATCTGTTTGTGTTCAAGTGAAGACGGTTGAATAAAAGACTCAAATATGAAACATTAATATTTGATATGTATTTTGGGTAAATGAATTGTTATATCAATGAATCGATTGATCAATAAAAACGATCCGTCGGTCGTATTTCCTCTCATGTGATTGTTTACTTCAGTTATGTCAACACAATGTTTAAAGTTACATGATCTTCATATGTAATGTCTGCATAGTTAATGCAACAGGTCAAATCCAGCATGAGCATAATGGCTGTTATTAAATATATAGATATCTATCTATATATATATAGATATATATAGATATATATATCTATATCTATCTATATATATATCTATAGATATCTATAGATATCTATAGATATCTATAGATATATATAT